TATATTTATTACTTTTGTTACCAGGGTAGAATCTTAAAAATAAATAAATAGTTTAATTTCTTAAAAAGACGTTTCCAATTCTTTTTGAATACATAACATAGAGAAGCGCTTGACGCAAACAGAATCCCTGCTAGTTGGGAAGAATTAAAAAACATTCTGGTTCATTCTGTCGGAGACAAACGGTCCGAAGATGTCTTAGCATACGACTTGAATAATATCATGCCCTTAAAATTAGAAAGTGCTCAAAAATACGCGGCAAGAATCAAAACGACCCTTTATACTCTCCTCTCGAAAGTAAATTTGGAAGAGAACGATTTAAATTAAACACCGCTTTAAGAACGTTTCTCTTTAGACTTGATTTAATAGACGAAAAATTAGCTATGGAAGTTAAATTACGTTCTCCAGTGGACATCGAAACCGCAGAGGCGTATGCAACCGAAATAGAAAATTTAAATTTGCAAAAACGACGATATCTCGAAAACCGAAAATTACCAATGCCAACGAAACAGAACATGTCATTTCCAACACAATCATCCACAAGTCAACAACAATTCAGATCTGAGAGACCAGTACATGTACCACAGTTTGTTCCTCAACAAAGGCAACTATCACAAGGATACGTACCACCTGCAAGACCAAATCAATTTAATAATCAACCGAGATTTGCTCTATCACCGGGACAGGCTATGCAGAGACAAACTTTCAAACCAATGCCAACTCCAATGGATACATCTGATTCAAGAAATAAAAGATTTGGTTCAACCATACAAAGACCAACAAAAAGACCATGGAACACCAATACTATGGAAATTTTTGAAGAACAGCTACCAGTAAACGAAGAAACGTTTGATGCCTCACAAAGTGTTGAAGAAGATACATGGGATTATAATGATGACCGTAACGCCGAAAATGCCACACATTTTCAAAATGAACCTTATTACGAACCCAACGTTAATTACGAAGTAGAAGAAAACCAAGCTTCAGTAAATTTTATGATAGCGGGCCCCTCAAACCATCCAAAATAACAGGCGTGATTTCTTTTAACTCGGATTATGATCCTCAATTACCATACATTAGACATAAATGTTTCAGAATTTTGATTGATACTGGCGCTTCTAAAAGTTTAGTAACAGAAAAATTATATAATCATATACAAGATTTTGCCACAGAAAATTATTTTTGTATTCAAACTCCACATGGTGTTGAAAAACGATCACGAGCTTTGAGTATTACATTAACAGAAATATTCAGGGAACCTGAGGAAAGAAAATGTTTGTTCTTTTGCTTTAATTTTTCGGATAGCTATGATACTTTAATGGGAATGGACATTTTAAAGGAGATAAAAGCTAAAGTCAATACAGAGGAAGAAATTTTAAAAACTGCAAATACCAGACTGACAGAACTTCGTTTATTACCACATTCGTCACAGATTGTTGAATGCAAAGTCAATCAGGCATTATCATACCTGATTACATCCTCGTTATCAAGGTTTCCTGATATGGCTTTTATAACGTTTCCTATTAGATTGATAGCTCTAACATTTCTTGGTTTCGGAATTAATTGTCGCAATCCTATATTCATCATTTCTTGATGGGCTTTTAGTGCTGAATAGTGCTCAATAGAAATCCTAAATGTAAATCAACAAAAACTATCAAAAGCTATAGAAATGCAAATGTCAATATCGGAATGAGCATTTAAAGAGTTTGAGAGAAACATTGAAACTTTAAATAAAAATCAATTAGTTATAAAATCCCGAATAATACAACTAAGAGTTGCGATACATACTGTATCTGTATTCACAATGAAACAAGACAGAAAAATCGATTTATATGCAATGATACAGATGATAACAGAAGCTATGAATGCAGTAATCTTGTTAACCGATAAATTATTAACAGCAAAAACGTTCGCCAAAATGCAAGTGTATCATCCAACGATTTTAACCAATGATGACCTCTTCATCGAACCACAATTAATAAAACAACAACTGACAAACGTAAAATTGCCATTACCATTGAAAGAAGAAAACTTATATATGATAGAAAAAACATTAAAAGTAAAAGCGTATAGAAAAGGCACCATCTTTCAATTTCTAATTGATCTACCTCTATGCGAACCTGATACTTACCAATATTATCGTTTCTATTCATTACCTACCTTCCAAAACGAAACCCTTTGGCACCTGAACGTACAAAATCCATACCTAGCTGAAAATCAAAATAGGTACATATCTGTAGCGTGCTGTGGCAGCAGCTCCATTGGCTAATACCTCATAGCCACATTTGGTGACCCACCAATTGGTCACCAAATGTGGCTATGAGGTATTAGCCAACATAATAATAAAATTATAAAATTAACTTTTTGGCAGACTTTTTATTTTGTGTCTGTTATATTTGTCTGCAAAAACAATTGTGTGCAAATATAAAAATAATAACAAATGAATTACATTTTATGTTTTTAAATGGAGCTGCTGCCACAGCACGCTACATCCACTATTGGCAATATATTCTGCCATAAATTTTTTTAATCATTTCCTACATGGNTTGAGTATTCCATTAACAGAAATATTCAGGGAACCTGAGGAAAGAAAATGTTTGTTCTTTTGCTTTAATTTTTCGGATAGCTATGATACTTTAATGGGAATGGACATTTTAAAGGAGATAAAAGCTAAAGTCAATACAGAGGAAGAAATTTTAAAAACTGCAAATACCAGACTGACAGAACTTCGTTTATTACCACATTCGTCACAGATTGTTGAATGCAAAGTCAATCAGGCATTATCATACCTGATTACATCCTCGTTATCAAGGTTTCCTGATATGGCTTTTATAACGTTTCCTATTAGATTGATAGCTCTAACATTTCTTGGTTTCGGAATTAATTGTCGCAATCCTATATTCATCATTTCTTGATGGGCTTTTAGTGCTGAATAGTGCTCAATAGAAATCCTAAATGTAAATCAACAAAAACTATCAAAAGCTATAGAAATGCAAATGTCAATATCGGAATGAGCATTTAAAGAGTTTGAGAGAAACATTGAAACTTTAAATAAAAATCAATTAGTTATAAAATCCCGAATAATACAACTAAGAGTTGCGATACATACTGTATCTGTATTCACAATGAAACAAGACAGAAAAATCGATTTATATGCAATGATACAGATGATAACAGAAGCTATGAATGCAGTAATCTTGTTAACCGATAAATTATTAACAGCAAAAACGTTCGCCAAAATGCAAGTGTATCATCCAACGATTTTAACCAATGATGACCTCTTCATCGAACCACAATTAATAAAACAACAACTGACAAACGTAAAATTGCCATTACCATTGAAAGAAGAAAACTTATATATGATAGAAAAAACATTAAAAGTAAAAGCGTATAGAAAAGGCACCATCTTTCAATTTCTAATTGATCTACCTCTATGCGAACCTGATACTTACCAATATTATCGTTTCTATTCATTACCTACCTTCCAAAACGAAACCCTTTGGCACCTGAACGTACAAAATCCATACCTAGCTGAAAATCAAAATAGGTACATATCTGTAGCGTGCTGTGGCAGCAGCTCCATTGGCTAATACCTCATAGCCACATTTGGTGACCCACCAATTGGTCACCAAATGTGGCTATGAGGTATTAGCCAACATAATAATAAAATTATAAAATTAACTTTTTGGCAGACTTTTTATTTTGTGTCTGTTATATTTGTCTGCAAAAACAATTGTGTGCAAATATAAAAATAATAACAAATGAATTACATTTTATGTTTTTAAATGGAGCTGCTGCCACAGCACGCTACATCCACTATTGGCAATATATTCTGCCATAAAATTTTTTAATCATTTCCTACATGGAAACAATTTTATAGTTTTCACCGACCACAAACCTATAACTACGGCTATATTTTCATCAACAGAAAAAACACCAAGGCAAACCAGGTACCTAAATTACATAACACAATATACATCTGATGTGAGATATATTAAGGGAAATTCCAATATTGTTGCAGACTGACTCATTGGCAGGTAACTGACAATGAATGGTTGTTCTACACACCAACGCAAGAACGAGTGACTACAAACTACAAGATGTCATAAGAAGTCAGAAGATAGAATTTTGAATGGAAATTTGCTGATCCAGATAACCGATGGATGTGACCTGAAATGGAAACACGAAATTATAAAATCGTACATCAGTAAATTGCCTGACCATAAATGACTGAAACCAAATGACCAATGTTGAGGTAAGAAACATTCCTGAAGAAATTCCGCACTGGAAACGCGAAGACCTGAAACTGCAAAGAATCCAATGGAATAACTTCAACAAGACAACTCAAGACTTAGAAGCTACCCGACAGGAACTTCAAGAACTACAAAGGACATACGCCAAGAAATTCTTGGGATCAACAATAGCCACAGCATGTATTGTTGCTGTTGTGATTCTTGGAATAATTGCCTACATGAAATACCGAGGCAAAACAACGCCAAAAATGGAAACTAATGACGTCACTTTGCCTCAGGTCGAAGATCGTCACCCTTGGACATGAACTTCGATCTTAAGCCGTGTGTCCACTACCAAGTTTTCTTGCGGAAGTCACTTGTGGAAGCAACTTCCGCAAAAAAACTTGGTAGTGGACACACGGCTTTAGGAGGGAAGAGTTACAGCTCGCAGGTCCACCAGAAAAATGATGACACCTGAAAAGATAAGACTTAGAAAAAGAATGTTAGAAGAAAAACAATGAGTTTTAGTACGTTGATGAACTTCTCAACGTTCGCATCGAAAACACTACAATTAGAATTATTTTAATATTAGGTACAATCAATTTTTACATTGTTTCATTTAGTATTTTGTAAATTTTAAAATATAACTTTTTTAAAAACAAAATACAAGGGTGAAAACGTGTAAATATATCCATAAGTTTTTTTATTAAGCAACATAAAAATATGAAACGTGAAAAATTCCAATTTAGCAAAGTTTCAAACCTTTTATTCACACTTCACAGTACTCAAGTTGACGTCAATAATCGTGAAGTTGATAAACCACGTTGTAGTGTTAAATTGACTTAAAAAGGCATCTGTTGACACTAAACGGTAGGTAAAGAATAAAAAAACGTTATTAGTTAAGTAAAAGCTTCGTGTATAAAATAGATATTGTGTGATTTTTGTTGTCGTAAAGTTTCCGATGAAGGAACTATAATTTTTGAGGTTAGGTCATCGGTTGGGTATGTATTTTGCATATTATCGTGAGGTTCGGAAGTGGTGTTTATAGTGTATGGGTAGATAAAAGTGGTTCGCTATCGTTATTCTCTGTTTAAAATCGTAATTCGAATGTTAGGGCTTATAATAGCGGTAATTTTAGGATCTGTTCTTGACCCTGTTGACGGGGTAGCGCCATCGTCCGGGGCGTAGCCGAACTAAATCTTGTCCGCGTTTTAAATTTTAAAAACGGGGTCCCGGTTCGTGCTCGGTGCCGGTTTGTTCACAAAATTACGATGCGTAAACGTAACCTGCGGCGCCGAAATCCGAACCGATTACATTAATGTCAATACTTTTTCGCGAACGGAACGGGATAAAATCAGAAATTGCACGTTCCCGAACCGGCTATTACGAGAATTTTGCGCTCCGGCTCGATATCAAGATTGAAAATTACCATTCCCGTAGATATTTTAAATCGTTCGCCGGCGGTTCTGCCGTGTTATTATGGGAGTTTTTCGTGATTTCCCCTTATACACTTGCATGCAAATCAGATTTCCTGTCGAAAAACTTCAGCTTCTCTCTTCAACATTCTTATCCGTTTTGTTAACTTTTTTTTTTTCTATCTTCCAGAGACATGCCCCCGAAAAAGGCTCAGGAACCCGAACGGAAACCGCTAATTGGAAGAGTTGGTACCAATCTTAGGGTTGGCATTGTTGGCGTTCCTAATGTGGGGAAATCAACTTTTTTTAATGTCCTAACCAAGAGTGCTGTCGCTGCTGAGAACTTTCCATTTTGCACCATTGATCCTAATGAAAATAAGTATTTTTTTCTTTTCAATAATCATACCATTAATCGTATTATATTGTTATAATATAATAATACATAAATACAATATAAATTATTGGTGTTTATCAGGGTTAAATCAGCTTTTTAATTTGATCAATTACGTTAGTGTTTTACAATTCACGAAACATTAACATGTTGACTGCCGTGGGGTTCACCAGTGGCTTGGCTTGACTAAAGTCCCTAGATTTACAGAGTACCGCGGTTTATGACGCCTGTTTTCGAGCCAAAATGGCGGTTTGACAACTTGTCACTGCGTCTAACCACTTATTTACAAAAATATTGCCGTCTTGTTCCCTATGGAGTTGCAAAAATAGCAGTAAGAAGGGCTTTCGACTCTTAAGAGTACCACGAGAAAAGAGAAAGGAGTTTTGGCGTAATGTTATCATTAGAACAACATAGTTTTAAATTTCCCGCTTGACTTTCGAGCTAAAATGGCGGCAAACCGCGGTACTTTGTAAATCTAGGGACTTTAGACTTGACTTGGCTACAGCGCCGTGTTGGCAGGGATGCAAACCATACATCGATTTTCCGAAAACATCGATGTATCGTCCATAAACATCGATGTTTTAATAGCGATGTTGAAGTCCATAAAACATCGATACATCGTTCATTATGAACGATATTTTATCTTCGATGTTTGATTAAATAATCGACCATTATTTCCATGTTTGTACTTATAAAAGAGCAATGAAATATTTGCCACTGTTTGCAACTTCAGTGTCTAACGAACGATTATTCACAGGAGATGGCGCAACAATTAATCAGGAAAGGAATCGCTTATTAGGCACCAGGTTGTCAAAGTCAAGGTTTTTGATTTCTATACTTAAAAATAAATTTAAATAACATTGTGTTTTATCATATTATAATAAATGGACCGCGTTATACATCACTTGACTAAGCGACATTTTATCGTTTTTAGAGATTTTCATGCTATCTGGTAAGTAAAGGTGTAACATCTTAGAAAAAGTACAGAATACCGAGAGACCTAAAATACTATTTGTTTTAAAGGATAAAGCTAAGCGTCAATCACGTTATACGATTTCAAGTCCGATTTGCATCATACGTCTAAGAACCGACTTACCATTAGATACGACACTTAGATACACCAAGAAATTCTACAATAGAAAAAATAGATTAACCTACAATTTCGAGTCAGTGTCGTTTTCTAGATGTTAGTATAAAATTGAAAGTTTGTCTTTTATTTTATATAGAATTTAAGTCTAACAAGTTTCGGCCCTTAGCCATCTTCAGAGACTCCACAAATAGATTAACATCTCTCATNTTTTTAACAAAACAAAAAGAAATATTAAGAAACTTGTTTGTAAAATGGATAAGATGAGAGATGTTAATCTATTTGTAGAGTCTCTGAAGATGGCCAAGGGCCGAAACTGGTTAGACTTAAATTCTATATAAAATAAAAACCAGTTTAAAAGTACAAAATCAAACTCTAGATTATTTTCTTCAAAAATTTTTACACAAATCGTCATCATTTTGTCTCTAGTTTTAGTGATTAAATTTATGATAATAAAGTTATTATTATTATTATTTGTCGCTTAATCAAGTGATGCAGAACGCGGTCCAAATATTATTGATTATTATGATAATTCTTATAATAACAATTCAGCCACTGAATTTTTTTTTAAACATCGATGTATCGGTATAATACGTCGATGTTTTCGACATCGATGTTTCACTTTTGGAAAACATATCGATGTTTTTATGAGCTATGTTGCATCCCTACGTGTTGGCGAGCGGTGACCAACTTATTTTTGGTCGCAACATTTTTGCGACCAATAGCAAAAATACATAATTTTAGTAAATATCGTTACTGATAAATTTTTAAATAATACCATTGTTACTATAATGGTTAAAAGAAATTAATATCATACAGAACATGCAAAAATAATTTTATTAATCCAACGAAAATATACAGTATGTCTCCGGATCGAGTTACAAAGAGGAAAAAAATTTTTGTCACTGATTTTTCAAACGTATCTTAGCATAAATAATGCCTCGGATATGTTCAAACCACTAAATCGCACGAACTTTATATTCTAACTATAGAAGTTAACTAATTATTCCCATTTTTATGTAAAAATTATACTTTTCCTAAATTAAAAATTTTTCAAGTTCAATTTACGATACGTAACCATAGAAACCAATAAAATAAAAGTTACAAGTTATGTTAGTGAAAAATATACGGACAAATCAAATTAAAATATGGCTAATTGAATAAAATATTTTAAATGTAAATTTAAGTAATAACACACTATGTAAGTAATAAATATTATTTATTTGTAAGTGAACAAATCCTCATTCAAACAAATTCCCTCCCAATTCGGCACACATTTGAAGACGAGTTCTAAATTCTTTATAAGAAGTACGAATTTCCGCCAGTGGTAGAGATTCTATCGCTTTAATTATTCTTAGTTTTAATAGTTCTGCATCATCTTGTAATGGTTCACTGTAAACAATTTGTTTCAATCGTCCCCAAAAATAAAAATCCATAATTGTAAGATCAGGACTACGTGCTGGCCATCAAATAGGACCATTTCGTTCAATCCATTTTTGACGAAATTGTAAATTTAACCATTTGGCACAATGTGTGAATGGTAAGCTGGGCAACTGTCTTGCTGAAAGTACATTGACCGTATAAAATTTAAGGGTAATTGGATTTACATCGCTCCAATAACGACAATGCTGGGAAGAAACAATGTCATTTGTTGAAAAGCTATCTGAAAAGCAGCGTCTTCCTCGTTTAGTCTCTTTGCCTGCCTCTTTATGGATAATACAGAACCTGTTTCCAAAAAAATTTTCATCAGTTTGCGGGCCCCACATGAGATATTTTTGTGTCCGGATATTTTTGCTGGAATTTTTGTATAACTACACGAAAAGATGATTCACTAGTACCATAGCACAGTACTAAATAAATTCTCTCTTTCAGGGTTAACATCGCATAGAAAGGCTTAATCTCACCAACATAAGTTGTAACTTTTATGGTTTCTATGGTTACATGTCATAAATTGAACTTGAAAAATTTTCAATTTAGAAAAAAGTCNAAACTCTAGATTATTTTCTTCAAAAATTTTTACACAAATCGTCATCATTTTGTCTCTAGTTTTAGTGATTAAATTTATGATAATAAAGTTATTATTATTATTATTTGTCGCTTAATCAAGTGATGCAGAACGCGGTCCAAATATTATTGATTATTATTATGATAATTCTTCTAATAACAATTCAGCCAACGAATATTTTTTTTAAACATCGATGTATCGGTATAATACGTCGATGTTTTCTACATCGATGTTTCACTTTTGGAAAACATATCGATGTTTTTATGAGCGATGTTGCATTCCTACGTGTTGGTGAGCGGTGACCAACTATGCGAAAATACATAATTTTAGTAAATATCGTTACTGATAAATTTTTAAATAATACCATTGTTACTATAATGGTTAGAAGAAATTAATGTCATACAGAACATGCAAAAATAATTTTATTAATCCAATGAAAATATACAGTATGTCCCCGGATCGAGTTACAAAGAGGAAAAAAAATTTTGTTACTGATTTTTCAAACGTATCTTAGCATAAATAATGCGTCGTATATGTTCAAACCACTAAATCGCACAAACTTTATATTCTAACTATAGAAGTTAACTAATTATTCCTATTTTTATGTAAAAATTATACTTTTCCTAAATTAAAAATTTTTCAAGTTCAATTTACGATACGTAACCATAGAAACCAATAAAATAAAATAAAAGTTACAACTTATAATTGTAAGATCAGGACTACGTGCTGGCCATTTCGTTCAATCCATTTTTGACGAAATTGTAATTTTAACCATTTGGCACAATGTGTGAATGGTAAGCTGGGAAACTGTCTTGCTGGAAGTACATTGACCGTATAAAATTTAAGGGCAATTGGATTTACATCGCTCCAATAACGACAATGCTGGGAAGAAACAATGTCATTTGTTGAAAAGCTATCTGAAAAGCAGCGTCTTCCTCATTTAGTCTCTTTGTCTGCCTCTTTATGGATAATACAAAACCCGTTTCCAAATTCTTTTTTCATCAGTTTGCGGGCCCCACATGAGATATTCTTGTGACCGGATATTTTTGCTAAAATTTTTGTATAACTATAACGACTATACTAATGACTATAACGAAAACATGATTCACTAGTACCATAGTACAGTACTAAATAAAGTCTCCCTTTCACGGTTAACATCGCATGAAAAGACTTGATCTCACTAACATAAGTTGTAAGTTTTATGGTTTCTATGGTTACACGTGAACTTCAATTTCAATTTTCAATTTAGAAAAAAATCCAATATTTACATAAAAATTGGAATAATTAGTTAACTTTTATAGTTAGAGTATAAACTGCATGCGATTTAGTAGTTTGAACATATCCGACGCATTATTTATGCTGAGATAGGTTTGAAAAATCAGTAACAAAAATTTTTTTCCTCTTTGTAACTCGATCCGGGGACATACTGTATACAGTGCGTTTCAAAAGTAACGGATAAATTCGATAAAATCGTTACAAATAATTTATGAAAAAATCGCTGAAACAGGTCTAAAGATTTAAATTTTTTCCGCCATTTTTAAACGAGTTATGACGTCTTCGATTTTTTTTAAATGGAACACCCCATTTTTTATATCGGAATTTGAAAGAGGATTTTTTTCTGAATTATGTACAATAAATATTAATATCGGATACATAAGAAAATTTTCGAGAAAAATTAATTTAAAGTTTCATTATTTCCCATTCATTTATGGGTGTAACCATGGCAACCAATTGTTTTGATTTGACATTTCCAAGTGTCAAAATTCAATTTGAATTGAATTATTTATTTAAATTAATTATTATTACTATTGTACTNGTTACTGATAAATTTTTAAATAATACCATTGTTACTATAATGGTTAGAAGAAATTAATGTCATACAGAACATGCAA